TTAAGTAGCACATAGAGTATTCTCCCTCGAGCACGAGCCAGCTCAACGCTGTACGATACAATAAGGGTAAAGCTGCCATTCCTCTCCTTTGGGTACCTCCTGTTTTCTTCAGTATGACCTCACCCAAATTAGTATTAGTAGATTGAGTCACTAAAGGGGAAATAGAAGGCTGAATTGCTGGTAGCCAGCTCCACCTGCATGAGTGTGACACAGCTAGCATAAAAATTAACAGGAGGAATTGTTCATTGTGCTGCATGGAGACCCACAGCTTCAGGGCAGGTACAAGGATGGCACAAGAAGCAAGCACAGACCTTTCTCCTCCCTGGTCTCTAGTAGTTTGAGATGGGATACGTGTACAGAGTTTTACTCCTGTGCCTTCTACTCTCTGATTTCAGACTGGAGTAGTGGATCAGGTGCAACTGCTGGATCTACACCAAGGCATTTAAACCACAAATCACCATCCCAGGCTTTGCGGAGTCTAAATTGTAATGGAACAAGTTCAAATTTCAATGGTTCAGATTTCCTTCTCAGGACTTCTCCGGATAGAAATTTTAGGATTGGTAAGAAAAACAGTGTGCACTGCATAGACTAGAATGTAATGGGTTCCATATGGTGACTGTCAAACCCCAACCAATGGAAATAAATAGGAAACCTTTCACTGCTTTGTCTGTGCCAGACTTCAGTTTGGGGTTAGTGGCTACATTACAGATGGCTTTTGCTGTACTAAGAGAAGCAAGAAAGCCCTTAAGATCCCGGTATGGCTCTTCTCCAAAAGGAAGGGAACTCTCTGCTCAGCTTCCACCTCAGGCACCTAAGAGATATTCTACCCTGGGCCAGGTGGCTGCCATTCCCACAGGACCTACTTCCAGTTAGGGAGCACTATAGTCTGTGTCTCATGCATTCCCAAAAGAGAAAAGATCTTGGGGATTACAGAAAGCTGAACAGGACTCGCTGTGAGTCTGTTTAATCCAGAAGAATCCCAGCAGGAGGTTTTGCCTTCCAAGATGGAGAAATTGTTGCAGACCCGTATTCTGAAAAAGGAATGCCTTTATAGGAATACTGACCAAACGTTTCTGGTTGTTTTTGGAAAGAAGCTGATTTCTCTTATTTCCCTACGGACATGAAATCAGTGAGTTCTGCATAGACAAGTTTCTTTCTAAATATATTAAACCAAATTATTATAATGGAATATTTTCCCTAATTCTTTTCCATAGCTGATGTTCATTACAACCCCAGTGCTGTACCTCCAAAAGATGGTGATACCAAACATCCTTGTTCACGAAGAATACTACCCATGGATACAGAGCTGCACTACTCACAGAAAGCAAGATTATTTCATTGATACTGAATTTGTTTTCTTCTGATTATCTAATGATAGTTCTCTTTTGTGGCATGTAGAAATAAACATTGATCTAAATAATTACTTCTAATGTACAATTATCACTCTGAACCCAATCAGAGAGCTAAAACATCCCATGATTCAACTCCCTAGGCTTCAGTGGAGTGGCAGTACTGACCACATAAAGATTTGGTCTCCCTGTCTTTCCAAGATTAGCCCTCATGTTAAACAGAGACTGGAAACATTCTCTTCCTCATCATTAGCCCTTCTCATAGTTTGTCCTCTTTTTTTTTTTTTCCCTCTTTACACGCTCCTGCCATCCCTCTACTCCCTTCTTCATCTGATACTTATCCTCAGAACCTAATACCCATAATACTGAGTTTCAAGTCATATTTTTGAGCCCGTTGGCTGACTGTCTAAGGCACAGATGTCTAGGTTCCTCAATCAGTATCTTTGCTTAATTTTTCTCAGATGGACTTTGATCAACTTATACATTAAGAAATTGGACTCAGCTTTCCAAGATGTTCCTTTCAGTTGTATGTTTTTATTTTCAGATGTGCTGGCACTGCTGACTTGGATTTAGATCTCTAAAGAGATGTAGATGCGTGTTTAAATGTTTGAAAATGTTGCCCAGTTCCTTCAAATGGAATGTGGAAACAAGAAAAGCTGAAATTCCCACCTCTAATGGGTATCCATGTGTACGATATAGGTTTCAGACTACCTCTTCTGCAAAAAAACAAAACCCAGAACAATAGCAGATGAAATCCTGCCATCTTTGCAGGTGGCGATTAAGAAGTTTGCCCTTTAATAATACTTTGCTGTGAATACAGCAGCAGGTAAACTCCATTTCATAACATCACAAGTGAGACTTAACTTTCCTCTCCTACTGAAGAGGGGCTTCTTTCAGCAAATATGTTTGAATTGGTAACTTGCCTGCTCAACCGAATCCTAGTTTCAGTTTTGAATGCCCTTAGCTCTGTATCATTCAAGTGAAGATTGTTTGATGCTTGCTAATATAGTAAAATACTAACCTGTACCAATGACAGAGAAGTAAAAAAAAAAACACAAATGAAGAGATCTCTTAGAGGTGGTATGTACGATAGCAAATACAAAAGGTTCTTTCATTTTGTGAATAACTCCCACACAGCAATTAGTGGAAAAAGATGAATATTTCAACGTACAGTAGCTACAGCCAGCCTACTTGAAATTAGACAGATCACCCTCAGTTCCTTGGCTTTCTGGAAGAAATATTAGCATTAAAAACATGCAAACAAGTTCCACCTCGTACCCACTTGTTTCTAACTTGAAATTGCTTTCAGTGAGAAAGAAATTTAATATAAAATACAGTTCAGTACCTCGGACACTTAAACTATCATTCTCTGCTTGTATTCTTTATTTTCACTAGTAAACTCTTTGTTTCACAATCTGCTGCTGAATATAAGTTTTCCGTGCTTTGCAATGAGCAGCAAGACATACTGTGCTGTGATGCTGAGAGCTAAAGCTGTGCCTGACTCCCCTTGCACCCCTCAGGGTGGTCCTGCGAGGGTAAGGAAGGTCTGCGGAGATTTTCCGAGGAACCAGAGTTTTAGTCCTTTATACCAGTTTGTCTCTGTTATGATATTGGTAACTCTAGGTGGACGGACAGTCTGACCCTGTTTCCTTTTCTACCAACCTGCTTTGATCCTCACTGTTCTCCTTCATACAGTAATTCTTCCTGCATACACTTTATAGGACAGAAGGTAATAAGCTTAAATATAGACTAGACATTAGGTAACAATTTCTAATTTTAAGGAATAAGTGGTCTAGAGAGCACATGGAATTGCCATCACTGCAGGTCTTAAAACACACATAGTGATAAGACAAATATCTGCCAGAATTGGTATAAGTAAAGCTGATTTTGCCTTAGGGGAAAGGATGCACTGGAAGACCTGTTGAAAGTCCTCCCAACTCCATTTTCTATTACTCTAATTTAAAATAAAAAGGCAGCAAAAGAGGATCAATACGAGAGCAACATGAGATTGGCCTTACCTCCTGCATACTGTTATTGTTTTACTACATTCCTGATAAAAGATTAAATGTACCTTGATTTTCTAAATTTTTTGCTAAATGCCCTTATAAAATTATTGAATGATTAGGAGCAACAAAGACTTTGATAAAAGCTGGACAAGCAGTGAGAAAAGTGCTGGAATTCTTGAGACTTCTCAGGCTGCTGAGAAATGGCTGGAAATGCCATTTCTTGGGCAGATCCATCAGCATGTTTCCTGCTTTGAAGGTGTAACAATGGGCAGAAGAGCAAGCTGCACTGTGTGGAGCGACGTCAGGTCCCCATTCTCGCTATTGACTTTTTTTTTTCTATTCAAAAAGCAAAATCTGGAAGTAAATTTTTAAAAACCTGTCAACTTGCTTATGTAAAATGCAAAACGCCATTTGTTCTGGGAAGGTGGTTAGCTCACTTCCACTCTCCATCATGTGCCTAATGGCTTTTCCAGCTAAATAGTGTATCATTTATGTTTCAAGCATGGCATTGTTTAGGTTGTCAGCCAGAATGAACATGTATAATTTTCTTTGGGCTGAAATAATATCTTCCATGCCGGCACCATTACATTTGCTCTTCTCCAAAGTATCTATGCTGACATTCTGTCACAGAATTGTGCATTGATGGTTTTCACAGGGAGAGGACATGCACAAAGAGAAATCTAATAAAAAATTGCTATGCGCTTATGATTCACATCCTAATAATTTTAGGTGATGGGAACAGCTTCCGCAGCTCTGCCTTGAACGTGACCTGACGGGCCGCGGTGCGTTACCAACACAAACACATCCTCCTCCCCATGGCTTTGATTGTATCAGTTGACTCTGCTCGCTCTCTTGGAAAGCAGCAATCTAAAAGCTCCTTTGATTTCTAAGTCATTCTCATTTACTCCTGGATTGTTTATTTTTAGCGATACATCCACCAGGAAATGCATGCTTTATTTTAAACCAGTGAAAGAAGGACTTCTGAAAGTATATTCATCTATGAAGACAATTATTTGATGTCAGATCTCAG